TTTACAGTATCCTACTTCGTTTGTTTAAAGAAAAATTTATATGTTTTAAAGAACATATTGTATTAATATTGAACCAACTGTGTTTTCAATCATATTTTGAAGAACTTAGGGGCCGTTTACCAAACGCTTACCCGGGTAAGCATTTACCAAGTAACATTATCTCACAGGAAATATGGTAAGGACCAATAATCTTACGCGGTAAGAGCGAGACAAGGACCAAGAGTCTTACCCGGTAAGTGAGGACGACGACTCTTATCATGGTAAGCGCTTACTGGGTAAATTGTTGCATACAATGTCGTTTTGATGGATTAGAATCTTACCCGCCAAGTAAATAATAGTGTTAAATTTTACTGGTAAGCACTTACAGAGTAAGTGTTTGGTAAACGGCCCTTTACTTTCAGAATTTTAATTTGATGAATCATTTCTCAAATAAAAGAAATAGAGAGCAAATTCATGTTCCTTAAACTTGAACAAAATCAAAACCAGTATTATTTTGGTTTCCCAAAATAAAAAGGAAAAGTTCAAAAAATCCAGCGAATTTTCCCATTTTTTAATTATTAAGTCACTAAACATTTTAATTAATAAACCTTTAAACTTTCTTGTTTTATATGATTAAGTCTCTGAACATTTTTTTGAATAAATAAACCATCGAACTTGAAGAAATTGATTAATTACATCACTTTAACTAAAAAAAGCTACCTATAACCGACTAGAAAGGTTTTAAAGTAGAAAAAAAATTTAAAATCGATTCTACCCTTTCAAAACCTTATGTCATTCAAACCCCCTCGCATTTAACACCGTTGCTCCCCTATGTCATTCCACCCCTCGCCGCCCTATCGTCATTTGTCCTGTATCATAGCAACACATCACGGTTGTTGGCCCCTACCTTCGATCTCCATTTTTGATCGTTTTTGTTTTCGCTTCACCCTCTTTTTTGATATATATATATATATATATATACTTCATTAAATTGTCATAAGAGGAGAATTGAAAGACAAAAGAAAGATAAAAAATAGGGAGATCGATGGTATAGGCTAGTAGCGACAATATGGAGAACAAACAACGATGGTGCGGTCAGAGGTGGCGAGAGGGAGCAATGTCGTTGGGTATAAAGGTTTGAATGTCCTAGAATTTGGGAAGGATAAAATTGATTTTAGGTTTTATGTTTTATTTTAAAATCATTTTAGCCGGTTACATACATATTACTTAAAATTAAGATTATAAGTTGATTAAGCATAAGTATAACTTATTAAAGCTCAAATTTGTACAACCAATTACAGATAAACATAATAAATACTAGATAAACACTACGGGATAAAACCCTTATTTTTTTCCTTCTAAAATATCTAAACACCTCATTCGTTTTATTAAAGTATATTATCTTAACTACAAGGGTGGTGCCTGATTGGTTTGAACTTGGCTCAAAAGGTCAAAAGTACCAGGAGGTCCTAGGTTCAAATCCAAGGAGAAATAAAAATCCCCTTGTGGCCACAGAGGTTCAAATGCGGTGACTCCGGGCTATATGCAAAGCAGGTGGCCGCTGGGATTAGTCGGCTCGCATAATGAATTAAATATCCAGGTTAAATATAAAATATCTTAAATATAAGTATCATTTAAATTAAACAAATCTTTGACCCCTAATAAAATATTGTATCATTATTTTTATAAAACAAATCGTAAATAAACTAAAGTAAAGTATATTTTTATTTTAGATCTAAACTATAATAAGTTTTAAATTAAATAAATTAAACCATAAAATTAGAATTTTATAGTATTTAGTTTGAAACCCACAATAATATATAGTTTAAGATAAATAATAATAAATTCAGCTCTAGATTTCTTTGTAAAATAAAAATCGAGAAAAAAGAAAGTATAGATTTCAGAATCCCGCTGCATTGCACGGGTGCACTTCTAATATATAATACATTTGACAAAAACTCTTAAAAATTATCTTTTATGTATTGTAAAACATTTGACAAAAACTTTTAAAAACTATCTTTTATGTATAAAATATTATTTATTGATACACTTCACTTAAAATTCAAGATTATAAGTAGATTGTATGTAAATACAACTTATTAAAGCTTTATGTTTGAATTCGTCCAACTAACTGTAGATTAACACAACTAAATACAAGATAAACATCTTATTTAAAATATAAAATGATTAGGATAATCATTGAGTTCTAACCGAATACTTGATTATTATTTTTATAAAAAATTATATTATAAATTAAAAATAAATAATTTTATTATTAAACTTAAATTAAATTACAATAAAAATTTGAATTAAATAAATTACACAAAAAAAGAACTTTTAAATAGTTAATTTGATACTGATATCGGTATATTTTTTTTTCAAATTTTTATGATATCTTCAAATTTATATTTTATTCAAAAATAAAAATATTATCGATTTTTCAAAACCATATAAAATGATAGAGACAACGAATAAAAAGAAACATCAAAATCAAGATGTATCTCGCTGCATATATTACGCGAGTACAATTCCAGTATTTTTATAATATATGTAGGATGAGGGTACTTTGGTAATTTAATCGATTAATTCAATTTCCTTTTTTTTTTTTGGTTTCGTTTATTTTAATAGGATAAAAAAAAAACTTTATTGTATTCCACGTTTTTATGTCTGGTTCCACCCTAACATCATGCTAAATATGACATGATGAATTTGAGTTCTATCATCTCACACGCATAAAACGTATTTTTATTAAATGATTTTTTTTTCTATCTTATATTAAAGGGATCTTTACCAAAAGTGTATCCGGATAAGTGTTTACGAAGTTACATTACCTTGTCTGATGAATATGACAAGGACCAAAAATCTTACCCGTTAAGAATGAGACAAAGATCAAGAGTCTTATCCGGTAAGTGAGAACGACGACTCTTACCACTGTCAGTACTTACCAGTAAATTATTACACACAATGTCGTTTTGATGAACTAAAATCTTATCTGATAAGTAAGTGATAGTGTTGAATTTTTACCGATAATGTTTAGTAAATGACCCATAGATCATATCTATTAAACAATTACTTAATTTGATCAATAAATTATTTTGTCTATAAAAGTAATTAAGAATATTTTGTTATTATATTTGATGTACTAATGTTATTGATGTCATTTATGGATATAATTAAGCAAGTTACATTTTTGGTCCTTGTACTTTTTCGTTTTCAACGAGTTTGTCCTTAAAATTTAAATACTACATTTTAACTATCATAATTTGTGAATGTTTGAAACTATAAGGATATAAACCGTTAAAAACCTAAAATTCAAAACTTGTTAAGTTGTTTCAAACCGTAATCAACAACGAATTTTTCGTAACTTCCTTAGGTCTTAGAAATGGCAACAGGTTGGGTTTGGACCAGTTATTGGTATCCCCGTCCTTGAAACAGACAACTAAAACCATCCCCATAACTGTCCGGATTCCCATCAGGGATCTTATTGGGGATTTCCGTTGGGTCCCCGTGTTTTTCCCGATCCCCGTTGGAGAACCCGTTAAGGGTAAAAACCCCTCTCTTCCCGTTGGTTTTCCCGTTCGCCGTTGGTTATACCTGAATCTGAAACCCGAATCGATCTGAAATAAATTACAATATGTTAATTTCACAACTGAAAGTAAATTACAATTTTTTTAAAGCTCAAACATAATCAAACCAATTACAAACATCATACAACTAACATCATGATTTCACAATTAAACAAATAAACTAGACTTTTTTGTGAGTCTTTTAACGATATTATATATATATATATATATATATATAAATTAAAATCAATATATATACATCATCAGACCGAGCGGGACCGATGATCACCGTCCCTGTCCCCGCCCCCATCAAAATCCCCGAATATGTCCCCGATCCTCGATAAGATGTCCCGAAACCGGACCCAAAAGTTTTGGTTTTCAGTTTTCACCATCGGTTTCGGGTTTTTTGCCATCTTTGTCCGGTTTTCATGATAAGAAGGTTGAAATCCATACAATTATGTTTCAATTGCTTCGTTTTATACTCTCTTTTTCCGATGATGGTTGCAACTACAATCACTATTTGATTGCTCCATGCTATTATGAAGCCTTCTACAGCTTTGGTCGTACTCTTTATGCTTCATTCATCATACCCAAGGGGTCTCGTATAGAAATGTTATGGCAGATAGAAATCACTACTTTTACACCATTTCAATTGAAAACCTCTTTGTTGTGGTGTAAATCGGTCAAGAGATTTGGGAGAAAACGATCGATGAACGGTGCGACATTTCGGTGTTGTCACGACGATTAAAGGTCACTAAGTGGGGTTTAATTGCTTGGACACACACGCTTTCAAGTACTCTTCATGAAATTTTATGGGATGTATACATATGTAGAATGATATTTATTTGGAGTTACGTATGTGGTGAATGATGACATGTTTTTATGTACATGTTTACGGGTGTATGTTTACATGTATATGATTGTTATGCGGAGACGCACGATTTTATTATGGGGTTTTAAATACTTTTAGCATGCTATTTTGGAGTCCATTTTCATGTGGCATGACCCCAAAATGGGTGCCAGACGGGTGCGAGCCGTGCAACCCAGGGAATGCCAGTGACATTATGTTATTTTGGAGTCCGTTTACATATGACACATTATGGTTTCGATATTTGGGTATGGGGTCAGGCTCGATATGACACATCTAGCGATGGCACGACCTCAAATGGGTGTCGGATGTGTGTGAGCCATGTAATCAAGGGAATGCCGGTGATAGAGTGGACTTACCCAGTGAGGCGGTTCAGGGGAACTAATACCTCTTATATAACGGCAAAAAGTTAACACCGTTAAAATGAATGACTAAATCTGAATGTATTTATAAACTGTGATTGCTAAACTGTAGTTTATAAACTATATGGACAAAAACCGTTAAAATAGAAAACTACAAGGACCAAAAATGTAGTTTATAGTAGCAGTATATTTGAGCTCTTTCTCTCCCTCTCTCTTCTCATCACCTGCTGTTTCATGCTTTCACTACTCTCGCTTCTTTTCCGTAGTCCCTTTCCCATCTCCTTGTACTATTCCATGGCTTCTTGGTATTTCCGTTGTGTCGGTCTTGATCCATGAATTACAATCCTTTTTCAATTGCATCTTGTAAGTTTAGTCCTAAATCGACCACAACTTTCATTTTTCGGAATCGAATTTGGAAGGAAATCACCAGGTGATAGTGGGAAGATGAAGATGAAGATGAAGATGAAGAAGAAGAATCATGATGATGAGACAGTTAAGAATAAGCGGTTTCTGATCACTGTGAATGTGCTTGGAAGTTCAGGACCTTTGCGATTCGTGGTGAATGATGATGATAAGGTTTCGGAAGTTATCTATTCGTCTATGAAGATGTATGCTCGTGGTGGACGACTTCCTGTTCTTGGCTCTGATATCAATAATTTATTGCTTTATCCATCAAATGCAGGATCTGAAGGTATGCATAATAATTGTCTCTGATTTGATTTTGTTGCTTGTTTTTGCACAAGTAATCTGTTGATTTGATTTTGTTTCCAGTAATCTGTTGATTTGATTTGATTTTGTTTTGAGTAATTTGATGATTCGATTTGATTTTGGTTCAAGTAATCTGTTGATTTGATTTGATTTTGTTTCAAGTAATCTGTTCTTGGCTCTGATTTGATTCTGTTTTGAGTAATCTGTTCTTGGCTCAATCATCCTCTCAAATTTCATTACAACAATTCTTTTAGGACATGCTGAAAATTTCATCAGAACCAATTAGTTTTTTCAATTAATCGTTTTTCTTGTTCTGTGCGCGTGAACCCTAACAGACCGTTAGTCTTTAAAAATGCTAAAAACAAGACTTTGTTTTATTAAAATAGGTTTTTTTAGATAAACTTTAGAAATCTACAACAGACCAATTTTTTACACTTGAACTTTCACAACAAAAACACTGTGAAGGTAGGTTTTGCTATGAAGTTGCATGCGTAAAAATGTGGTCCCACAGGTCTCACAAAACATGCCGGTCTCACGTGGACCCAACTTCATATATATTATTTTAAAAAAATCTAACTTAATTATTTATAATTTATTTTTATAAATAGAATCCAATTTCATTCCAAATCCTATAAATCAAACATGCTAAAGATTTCAAATCCTTTCAAATTCAATCAAACCAAACTTCCCTTGTAGAGTTTTGTTTAGAAAACCAAAAGCGGAAAACGATTTTGCTTAACATTTTTATTTTTTAATGGTTATTACAGGAAAAATATTAATTTTTAATCATAATCAACAGAAAAACAATGACATCGTTGGACTAATACTCCCAAAAACACTTTAAAATTATTCTTGCACTTATATAAATAAGAAATGGTGTAAGTGTAGCCGATGTAGGACTCTAACATGCTCCCTCCCCTTCCGACAGAGGCTAGACGAGCAAAGATTGTCCCAAAGTGTCGAATACTTAAAGTGGTAGACAATGGCTCTGATACCATATGAAATTATGTGGAATTTCTAGATTTACTCTTCAAAATAGGCCTTGAAGAGAGAAGTGATGTTCTAACATTTATAAAGAATAAATGACTCAAGTGTAGCTGATATAGGACCCTAACATAGAGAAAATATCAAAACATCGTGATTCAAAGTTGTATTAAATATTTTCTTTCACTTGGGCTCTTTTTTTTAATATAAAAATCATTTTCCTATTTCGTTCTTTTGTCGATTTCGAAAAAAGCTTTAAAATTTCGTGCATTTATGAGTATAATTTTGTTGGCAGCAATGAAAGCGGATGAAGCAGTTGGTGCATGTGGAGAAAGGACTTTTGTGTTGTGCAAGAAACAGAGTCGTCCTCAGATGACTGAAACTCGATCGGAGATGATCAACCGCCACCGTCGGAGCCGCGGTTGGAAGGCGTGGTTCAAGATTTTATCTCATTAATCTTGTACTTTGAGAATAACAATTTTACCAACAAAACTCGAGAGAAATAAAAATAAAATCTATGTATTGCTTAAGTTGGTAATAAAATTGGCTATTGATCGGTCTTTTTAAATACAAATTGTTTATCTGGGATACCCCATCTTTTTGCCGACCAAGATATAACATATGAAAAAAGATAAAAATCAGACGTAGTTGAACAAATGATTTTCGTTTTATATTGTCACATTTTAAATGGCCTTACAATTATTTTTCACAATTATAATCATTTTGTCGACCAAGATATAACATATAATCGCTTTCAAAGGTTAAGTTAAAAGTAAAGGATTATACAATTTTATATGTAGTTGATTCACCTACTTCATTATTTAATGTCCATTTACTTTAACTCATAATTTATTTTCTGCTTATCAGTATTTAAAAAAGCGTATCATGATGTGATATGATGTAAGACACGTTTTCGTTGTTACGAAATGGCTTCTAGTGCGTTTTTTCTAAGACGTGGGTTTTTTTTCCAATTATTTTTTATTTTTTGTGTTGTTACACTTTTATAGATTTATTTAATCATATCACTCAGGGTTTTACAAATTCATAAACGTAATGGACTCACTATTAAAAGTTATAAAATTACTTTCTCAACATATATGTCAACAATGTTATGATATTGATTATGTAACTAATGCTAAGCGTCAATAATGGTTTATTTTACCTCTTAACACGATTTGAGATCTTCATGTACATGGTGATATTATCTTGCTTGATCTCTTATTTGTTATCATGCAGGGATGTTCCAATCTTTTTGTAGATCCTGTTACATCCAAAACTTTTGATTATATTGCATAAATAAGATAACAAAGAATATATGTTAAAAACAAAAAATAGGCTAAACCTAAAACGATTAACAATTTGAAACTGAACCTAAACCATTAATAATTTGAATCTAAAACCAAACAATTAATGGTTTGAAACTAAATAACTTCGGCTATAGTTTTACACAGGTCGATAAAAAACTCTAAACACATGTAAATTTGGGCCCCAAATTTCGGAGTCCCTGTTCAAAATCTCACATTTAACATGCTAAAGGACGACCCTGTTCTCATGTTTCAGTCGAATTTGTTGTCAGTATGATGTTTAACATCTAATAAAAAGTTACAATTCTTATTTATATATTGACATCAACTAACATTCAAGCAACTGTTAATCTTATAATTAGACTATAATACCTTCCTATAATAAAGGTAAGTTGCTCGAGTCTTGTATTTGAGCTAGAAACTCGAATATATATCTTGCATTTTGTGTAATGTCTGTATACAACTAAAACTGCATCGAAGCAAATCACACAAAAAGGAGCATAAATATGACATCTATATTGTTATATTTTTTTCATCTGTTTTTCGGTTATTCTCGACATTTTCATTTGATTATACGTACACACACATACACTATAACACCCACAAACTTAGAAAAATAGCAGACAACTTAAAACTTTCAAAATTCTGTACATAAACAACTTTAATAACAAAATACCTAAAGTTTACAAAGAAGGAAAGACAAGAATATTTATCAGAGCTCTAAACAAGACTGTATAATTCCAAAATAGAATTAGAATGGGTTGGGTGTTACTACAACATCCAATTTTCTATCTTCAAAACTGGATGACGCCTCTAAAGCCATCCTACCGGAACCTCTATAAAGCTCCGAACGCTGATAAGATCCAACTAAGACCTGATATACATATCGATAGGAAAAAGCGTTAGGCTTAACGCCTAGTGAGTTAATACAATTTTATCATATAAAACATAAAATGGTTAAAAACAACATTTTCTTTTACAGCAACGACCCATCATTTAAAATGCAAGTCATAAAAAGGAATATTTTTACAATCTCGTCATTGCCAATTCAAATGCTCGTTTTAGATGCCAACATTCCAAACTCTCCCGACACGTGCGCAAGGCTCTAACTCCAAGATACTAATTATATAGATAAAACAATAACTTCAAAACACCCAAAGCATGGGTAACGTAGTACCCGAAAACAACATCTTTTGGTGATGGGGAAAACCAGATTCCATCGAATGTGGCAGGAACACAAAAAATAAGCCATTTATCAATGTTTCTCAAGTTTTACCTCTGGCCATGGATCCCCGTACACGGCTCCATTGAGCACCACCATAAGATTCCTGAAATGACCTAGTGTGTACTTGACCTCTAGATGATGCTGGAGCCCTTCTCATATACAGAATCTTCCACGTCCTGCACTGCGACCCTAGGTCGCACGCTAGGTTGCGACTCATTATTTTCGTCCTTTTTGCCGTTTTTCGCTCCCATTTCAATCCACTAACTTTCTTATTATGATGTATAATCAAAACCTTCAAGAATAAACATTACAATGGCCCAAAAGAGGTATGAGAATTACGATTGAATGCCGCAAAATCTCGGGCGTTACATATATACACACACGCATATTTGGGCATATTTTGTTAGGAACCTAAAATTGATTAGAAACCCGAGAACTTCCCACAACATGATACATGACATACTCATCAAGAATATGGATGCATTATTCATCATGAATATTGTAACATATTCATCATAAATGTGTGATTCATGATGAATAATTCTTTCATATTTATCATTAATGTGTTACTCATGATGAATATTCATCCTGAAGAGGGACAGACACTTTGGTGCGTCTTTGACGGTTCTCGGATTCCTAATCAATTTTGGGTTCCTAATGGAACTACTTTTGAGAACTTTAATTTGTGAGATCCGTAAGATCTAATTTAAACCACAAAAAATTGGTTAAAAGATAAATCTAATATATTTAGAATGTCAACTCTAATTCAATAAGGGTGCGTTTGGTGCGCAGACATGACATGACAGGACAGGACAGTGTTTGGTAAGACAGGACAAGACATGACATAACTGGTTAAAATGACCAATTTACCCTCAGTGAGCTGTTTAGTGTTTTTTCACCAAAATCAATCTTACTACAGAATGTATTGTTTCCATATGATCTTGATCAGATATCCAGCCGATTTTTGAATTGCTAAATCGAAATCGATTAAACAGCCGATTAAACAGCTAGATTAAACAGCCGATTTTTGAATTGCTAAATYGAAATCGATTGATCAGAATCTTACTCTCTTTGAATTGCTAGAGCTTGATTAAACAACCGATTTTTGCAAAGCAAACCCTAAATCGATTCAAACCTAGCAAACCCTAAATCGATTCAAACCTAGCAAACCCTAAATCGATTCAAACATAGCAAACCCTAAATCGATTCAAACATAGCGATGAGAAGGAGAAGGTTAGGGCAATCGTGTACCTGATGAAGGAGAAGGAGAAGGTTAGGCCAAAATCGATTCATACACCGTCGGACTGTGTGTATGGACTAAAACTCCCGTCGCCGATTTAGGGTCGGTGCGATGGAGGGTGTGCGATTTTGGCCGTCGGACTGTGTGTATGGACTAGAACTCTCGTCGCCGATTGAGGGTCGGTGCGATGGAGGGTGTGCGATGGAGGCAGTCGGTGCGATGGAGGCAGTCGCCGATGGAGGCAGTCGCCGATGGAGACAGTCTAAGCATGGAGTGCGATTGAGGGTGCGATGGAGGGGAAAAAGGGGTAATGAGGGAAAAAGTTTTGTGTTCCACTTAGTTCCAGGGGTAATGGTGGAACACGCGTGTCCCATGCTTGTCCAACTTAGTTCCACTTAGTTCCACATTTAGCCACACCAAACGTAGGACAAACGTGTTCTGTCCAGTTCTGTCCCATCCTGTCCAGCGTACCAAACGCACCCTAATAGTGGAAAATTAGGGATTCTTTGTCCTCTCTCCTCTCTCTTTACCACCATAAAACACACATACATAATTTACTAATTCAAATTATATAAGAATACCCTATTTTTATAATGGCCTACTAAAAATCAAGGGGTGAGATTTACTAATTCAAATTTTTATGAGTTGTCAACATTAGAAATGCCTAAATTACCCTTTAAAAAACATATGATATAAACATATTAAAATCCCACAGTTATACTAATTATAGCATCCAAAACAATTTTATATCATCCCGTATAAAGAATCATTCGGTTCTAATTTAAATACCAAATAAGGAAAGTTTGTCAAAGTAAACTCACCTCATCAATTCACATAGATATATGCAGATAACCGCAAGCAAATAACCAGTTGAAATAATCACATAATCAATTCTACAAGCTTTCCTTCTTCGGTTCAGTTTTCTCCAGTTTCAGACACACACAAAACTTCTCACAAACTTTATAAACCAAATGAGGCGGTGGTGGAATTGCTTTTTAAATCATTTAAGCATATAAACACATTAACCCCCTCAACTTTCCACCTTGATTTAAAAACAATCCCGAGCTTTATAACCGATTATCACAATATGTATATATCTATGGAAGGTTCAAATAAAAAGGTTGAAAAGATACAAATAAATGATCGATGGTTGAATCATTGGTAAACCTAATAAAAATTGGATGAAGATGCATATGTTAATTCATATTAGCTTATCTACCATTTTACCAATCTTGCTGACATATGAAGATAGAGGAGTGATCAAACGCAAACCACTTAATTCGTACAAACCGTGCAAACCTCGTTCAACCAATCATAATTTTTTATTTTGTTCATTTTTTTGTAATTATGAGAGGTTAATTAACCACTTTATTGTGAAATGTGTTAATCATGGATATTATCATCTTCATTATTTTAATTTTAGAGAAATACATAAAACAATTTTATTAAAATTTCATTAAATGTTATATGAAACAATTTCAAAACCATATATGAAACAAATTCATAAAAAAAAAGTATTATATGAAACAATTTCACAAGATTAAACAATTTCATGAAAATTTTTCATAAGATTAAATAATGAAATCGACGTATGAAGGTGGTTTGTACGGTTTGTACAAATGAAGGTGGGTCTCATTTGATCGCTCCTCTCTCTCTATATATATATGTGTGTACTTATGTTAGAATAATTTTTTTAAATAGTGGAAGTAGGAACACGACTCTTGACTATGTTTAGTGCTCATCTTCATTCTAATTCTTTATTAAAAAGTTACTTTTTTTTCTTTGTTGCATATACGAGCTCC